CGTACACGTTTCTTTCTAGTCCCCTCATTTCCCCTGCACCTTGGAGTATCCTCCATTTTTATCTCTTTACCTTGTTCTGGCTGCTGTGTTGGCTTGCGGTAGTACTGCTCCCTAGTGAGCGGTAGTACCGTAGGCACCAGCGATAGTATCGTGCTGTGGCGCGGTAGTACCGCGGGTGCCCACGGTAGTACCGCTCCTCTGGAGCCGTGGTACCATGACCCCCAGGCCAAGTACCGCTCCCTCGCGGTAGTAGGGGCAGATGTAATTTTTTACATCCGCGCTACCGCGGTAGTACCGCATCCCTTGCGTGGTAGTATCGTGCGTAGCCTAGCTCAGCTGCCAGGCGATAGTACCGCTCCTAGTACTGTGTCGGATTTTTGCTACATCTGTTTTCCAGCGGAAGTAGGCACGGATGTTCTGTTATCCACGCTCTTCCCAGGCTTGGGGTTCCCTGCCTTGCGGTAGTACCGCAAGGGGGAGCGATAGTACCGCGTCTGCGGAAGTACCATCCTCAGTCCATGTGCTTAAGGTCTGCCCTAGCTACTGCTGCTGCTGCGGTAGTACCGCGGCTCCTCACAGTAGTACCACATGGCCTCGCAGTAGTACCGCTGTTCTGGAGCGGTAGTACCGCTGGTCGCGGGCTGGTAGGTGGATAATGGTTGGTTTTTCTTCCTTAGCTATATAAGGGGTGTCTTCTTCCTCGTGTTGACTACCTCTTCCAACCCTAAACTCCATTGTTGCTCTAAGCTCCATTTTCGCCCGATCTCACTCCCTAGCCAATCAAACTTGTTGATTTGCTCGGGGGTGGTTGAGAAGGCCCCGATCTACACTTCCACCAATAGAAATTTGATTCCTCCCACTAATCCCTTGCGGATCTTGTTACTCTTGGGTGTTTGAGCACCCTAGACGGTTGAGGTCACCGCAGAGCCATAGTCCATTGAGGTGAAGCTTCGTGGTGTCGTTGGGAGTCACCAATTGAGTTGTGGAGATTGCCCCAACCTCGTTTGTAAAGGTTCGGTCGCCGCCTCCAAGGGCACCAATAGTGGAATCACGGCATCTCGCATTGTGTGAGGGCGTGAGGAGAATACGGTGGCCCTAGTGGCTTCTTGGGGAGCATTGTGCCTCCACACCGCTTCAACGGAGACGTACTTCCCCTTAAAAGAAAGGAACTTTGGTAACATATCCTCGTCTCCACCGGCTCCACTCTTGGTTATCTCGTGCCTTTACTTGTGCAAGCTTATTTGTGATATATCTCTTGCTTGCTTGTGTTCCTATCTTTGTTGCATCATATAGGTTACTCACCTAGTTGCATATGTAGACAACCTACTTTGATGCAAAGTTTAAATTGTTAAAGAAAAGCTAAAAATTGTTAGTTGCCTATTCACCCCCCTCTAGTCAACCATATCGATCCTTTCACTCGAGTGCTAAATGGCTTGAGCGAGGACGAACGTGATATTCAATTGTCACGCCAGATGCGGACCGATTCACCAATACCAGTGCGCCATATCATGCCTTCCTTGAGAAGTTCCAGCCCATAAGATAGCAGACCAAGTTGAAGAGGGTTGCCCTGTAAACACAGTGTCTAGTAGGCTTCCTTATGGGTAGTATCGGGCCTTCAGTACGCGTGCACACAGACTATCCGGTGTTTGCAACAACCGCCAAGCTTGATAAGCTAGTAGTGCCTGATTAAAAATGCGCATATCTCGGAATCCCATTCCACCTTGCCCTTTTGATCTGATCATCTTATCCCAACTGAGCCAATGTGTTTTGCGCTTCCCATTTTCCGCTCCCCGCCAAAAGTCTCGGATCAACTTGGATAGGTCATCACAAACAGATAATGGAAGTTTAAAAACTCCCATAACATATGTCAGTATTGTTTGCGCGATCGACTTGATAAAGATTTCTCTCCCACTCTGTGCTTGATTATTGTCACCCCAAAGCAATATACACTGTGTGAGTTTGGCCTGAAGACTCTGGAATTTACCACGACTCATGCGACCTTCCGGAGTTGGTAGACCCAAGTATTTTGCATCAAACACTTGTTGCTCCACATGAAGGATTTGGCGTGTTGCTTCCTGATCTGATAGCGGACAAAACTTGCTAAATTGGATTGGGCACTTTGCTGGATTAATGAGTTGGATTTTCTGAAAAATCAAACCAAGCAAAAAAAAGTGATCGGGTTTATAAAAAAGAATTATCCATGTATATAATTTCAAGCATATACAACATAAATTTACATGATGATGTATCCCGTGATACGCATTTGCTGTCATCATGTAAATCTTCTGGGAAAAAAAATATGCATTTGCTATTTTAAGTGTACATATTTTGGCCTATAAACATGATCAAAGTTTATAGTTTCCTACTTTTGACAAAAAAGTATACCCAATGCATTAAAACGGAGGGAGTAGGAAATAGTTAAAATACTAACCTAAAAATATCAATATTTTTTTTGAACACAGTACAGACGCAAGCGCTCATATAAACGCGCATACACTCACCCATATAAACGCACACACGCACACCCTACCCCTATGAACACCTCCGAAAGACTGAGCCGGCATATCATCTTAAGATTTTACGAAATCATCGTAGATGCCTCGTAGTCGACGGGAACGTCTTCTCACACTGAAAGCGTATTGCCGAAATTCCTGAAATAAATCCAGGATAAATAGAGCACCAAGATTTGAATTCTGATGGGTTAAGGATACCACTGTCCACCTAACCATCTCAACCAAAGGTTGGTCCGTAAAAAAAAGAATTGTGACGTGTGGATAAATGGCAAAACACGTGTGAATACATGTCCGTCAGGCTTCAGGGTCTATTTCTAAGCAATAACAAATACTTCCTCCATTCTATTATGTGATGTGTTGGATTTTCTGAAAAATCAAACCAAGCAAAAAAAAATTGATCTTGTTTATAGAAAAGAATTATTCATGTATATAATTTCAAGCATATACAACATAAAATTTACATGATGATGTATCCGGTGATACACATTTGCTGTCATTATCTTCTGGGAAAAAGATATGCATTTGCTATTTTTTGAGTATACATATTTTGCCTATAAACATGGCCAAAGTTTATAGTTTCCTACTTTTGACAAAAAGTATACACAGTGCATTAAAACGGAGGGAGTAGGAAATAGTTAAAATACTAACCTAAAAATATCAATATTTGAAAGACAACAACAGATACAAATGCAAAAAGGAAAAAAAAGAGAGAAATGTGAACCAAGCAAAAAAAATTGATCTTGTTTATAGAAAAGAATTATTCATGTATATAATTTCAAGCATATACAACATAAAATTTACATGATGATGTATCCGGTGATACACATTTGCTGTCATTATCTTCTGGGAAAAAGATATGCATTTGCTATTTTTTGAGTGTACATATTTTGCCTATAAACATGGCCAAAGTTTATAGTTTCCTACTTTTGATAAAAAGTATACACAGTGCATTAAAACGGAGGGAGTAGGAAATAGTTAAAATACTAACCTAAAAATATCAATATTTGAAAGACAACAACAGATACAAATGCAAAAAGGAAAAAAAAGAGAGAAATGTGAACCAAGCAAAAAAAATTGATCTTGTTTATAGAAAAGAATTATTCATGTATATAATTTCAAGCATATACAACATAAAATTTACATGATGATGTATCCGGTGATACACATTTGCTGTCATTATCTTCTGGGAAAAAGATATGCATTTGCTATTTTTTGAGTGTACATATTTTGCCTATAAACATGGCCAAAGTTTATAGTTTCCTACTTTTGACAAAAAGTATACACAGTGCATTAAAACGGAGGGAGTAGGAAATAGTTAAAATACTAACCTAAAAATATCAATATTTGAAAGACAACAACAGATACAAATGCAAAAAAAA